CAGATAGAAGACGGTGTAGGTGACAAAATGGGAATGCTTTCGAGAGGAATAACCACATTTATCGCAAGTGCAGTTGTAGCTCTTATATTCAATTGGAGGGTCACTCTTATTATCGTTGCCGTGGGTCCAGTATCTACAGTCACAATGATGATTATGGCTTGGGTAAGTGAGATTAAAGCACAAAATTTTCGGAAATTAAGAGATGATTGCATGCATTCGTAGTTGTCAACCTCTCCGATGAACAAGGTGATGGAAGTCTCAGCTGAGGCAGGAAGTATTGCCGAGGAAGCTATCATGAACGCCAAAACGGTGGCAGCATGTAATGGTCAAGACTATATGGTCAAGGTAAGAAGATCTATAAACAGATTATCTTCTTTATAATTTTTTGTTGAAATAGTACTTTCTTCCGTAGACGAATGAGTGAGATAGCAGAAAAATGTGATGCCAAAAATCTTTTTTAGAAGTACGCTAAAAAAAGGAAAGAGATCCTGCCGCACGCTCTAAAATGCAGCTTCATTGGCGGATTTTTTGAAGGACTTACGTATTTGCAATTGTACCTCTTCTGTGCTGGTGGCTATATGTGGGTATATTTGCCTTATTTACCCCTTAGGATTCCTTGACGAAGTTCTTCTCCATATTAAACTTAGAACGCGATAAATAACAATCAGATATCGCTGTACTGAGTTGCAGGTACGGCATCATTAGCTACTACAACGGAATCATCGATAGTCCTGGATCAATCCTCATTGCCACAGGAGCCGTCATGCTGGGTAAATATCGAAAACTTTAAACGAAATAATTTCTAAAACTACGTATTTTCTGTAGTATTTTAGGTTCGTATCTGTTCAGTTTGTTAGGACCTCACATGCTGGCTATAACAAAATCGAGAATTGCTGCAGCCGTAATTTACGAAATAATTGACAAAGTTGGTACATGTTTCAGTACAAATGCTCTTCAATAAGCTTTCTGATAGCAAAAATTGCTAGGTTTACTCTCTGCCATCCATTAATGATTTTTCATACTGATATCAGGGGAAGGAGAACGACAACGAGGACGGTGAGGATTTAACAGAATGTGAAGGACGCGTAGAATTTAGAAACGTTTACTTTAAGTATCCA